TTTGAAAATCATTCAGAAAGTTTAAGGACAGTTTCAAAAAGAGACTTCAAAAGTAAAAGGCAATAGTATCTTAACAGAAAATGAACATTAATTGAAAGAAGTAGAATATGATACAAAAACTGTTAATATTGGTTTATGTTCATGTTTGTAATGGATTGAATAGCATCCCCTTCCAAATTCGTGTCCCCCTGTAAACTGTGAATATGACCTTATTTGGAAATAGGGTTTTTGCAGGTGTAAGCAAGTTGTATGAGGTCATACTGAGTGAGGATGGGCCTTATGTAGTGACTCTTATCTTTATAAGAAGGGGGAAATTTGGACGCAGATGTACCTGGGGTAAGACAGTCATGTGAAGATGCAGATAACAATTGGAGTTATGCTGTCACCAGCCAAGGAACACCAAAGATTGCTGGAGCCACCAGAAGCTAGGGAGAGGCAAAAAAGGATCCTCCCCAAGAGCTTTCAGAGGGAGCATGGTCTTCATGACACCCTATTTCAGACTTCTGGTCTCTAGAAATGTGAGACAACACATTTTTGTTGTTTTCAAACATCTTGATTTGTGATAATTTGTTACGGCAGCCCTAGGAAACTAATTCAATCTTGTATGCAAACATGTACAAAAATACATTTGGAAAAAAACTTATTTTTAAAAGTCCTACAACAGACCATCTTTTTCTGGACACTGGGGCTATGTGGCCATTTCTGTCATATCCACATATAATGTAATCTCTTCAAAGGAAGCGAACATTCCCTTGTTGATCTTTATCTTCTCTGCTACCTATAACAGTGTCTGGCATATGACAGGCCCTCAAAAATATCTGTAGAATGGATAAACAAAAGTGTGCATAAATTGGCAAAACTGACCTCATGTCCTTTCCAGATTCCATATTTTAACTTTTCGCGCAAAAATAGGATCATCTTTTAAAACATTGCTGTTTAACATTTATATTTAAACAGCCCTATATAATAAATGATGATAGTTACAAGTACATCAGAAGGTCATATTAGAACAGATTGTTTTTATCAAAATAAAATATTATGGCACTGAATTGTATGTGAAAGTTATTGCATGACAAAGAATGATAGATTCAGAGAGCATAGAACGATTCATTTTGTAGTCTCTGCTTTCTTTTTGTTTAAAAGTCTATGAATTAGCATATGCTGTCAGGAATAATGATAATCCATTATTGCTATATTCTTGAGTGTAGGTGGCAAGGAGCTTTTTTATTTGGTAATAAAGAGCAGTCTTTAAGCCACACAAATGCTCCAGGAGAAGAGAGCATGCCATGTAAACACATTAGCACCCATAATCTCCTGTGATAATTGATTCAGACTTACTGACCTTGGGCACATTGAATGTTTTGATTTCTTCACTATGAGCCTCCGGGTGAATTCAGGGTGAAATTTTAATATAAAAAGAGTTGCTGCAATTTTTTTTCCTAAGGTGGTGAAGTAGTCTGTTGATAATCTGAATCATTCCAGTTTTAGAAAGACATAATATAGCACCTAGGATCATGGCACTTAGCAGAAACTATGGCATTTAAATTTCTTATTTTATGAAACAAGAACTCACAGCCAGAGAGATCAAACACTTGCCCAGGGTCACATAGGTTGTATCAGGACTGGCATCAGGACTCAGTTTTCTTAACTCTCGGTTAAGTGCTCTTTCTATTATTTGTATCATGTTGTTATTTTAAAATAAATCTGCTCTAGCTAAGAGTCAGCTGTAGGTTTTCTGCCCTGCAAGGTAGAATTCTGTCACTAACTCATGAGTAACCCAAATGACTGACAATTTTAATCTCAATTAAACTCATATAGATGATCGTTAGGTGACTTGGGTGACTTTAGGCCTCTTAAAGTACAGACATTGAGGAATTAAAGTGGAACACGACCATTTAAGATGGTTAGTAGAGATAGGGACATTGAGAGTGGGAAAAAAATAGCATGAAGAACAAGAACTTTGTGAGAAAAACAAAAATAGATTTTTAATAATTTACTTTTTGGACTTTATTTTTTATTCAATATGCAAAACTATGTGGTTACTGTTTTCACGTATTCAACTCACAGAATATACCTTGTGTCATTCTGTCATTTTCATTTAAATGTTTAATGAACACAAATTAGAGAAAACACATGAATTCCTCAAGGAAAGAGAGAACAAGGGCAAGAAAATGAGGGCCTTCATCAAGGGGCTATAAGAGGCATGAAAAATGCTAAGAATTTTAACACATTTCACATTTAATCCTCAAAAGGTTCAAGTTACAAATTAAGGTTTTTGTTTTCTTCTCTTTTTCTTTTTACTTTCCTTTTTTTGAGATAGAGTGTCACTTTGTCACCTAGGCTGGAGTGAGTGGCATGATCTTGGCTCACTGCAATCTCCACCTCCTTCAAGTGATTCTCACGCCTCAGCCTCCCAAGTAGCTGGTATTACAGGTGTACCCCACCATGCCTGGCTAAATTTTTGTATTTTCAGTAGAGACAGGGTTTTGTCATGTTTGTCAGGCTGGTCTTGAACTCCTGACCTCAGGTAATCTGCCCACCTTGAAGCCACAGAGTCCGGCCAGCTTATTCTTTTTAAAGATGAAAACTCTAACAACTGAGTAACAGATTTTTAGGATTGATATCCATCCCCCAAAATATTTACTGATCCTGCTGAATAACAGCCATGTATCAACCTTCTTGCTAAGCAGTTTCTATGTACTTTCTTATTTAATATACACAACAACCTTATAAAATAGAAAGAGTAATTATCCTGAACTCGTAGATGATATAATTGAGTCATAGGGAGGTAATAAGGGAAGGTAATGAATATATATTAAGTGTCTAGTATGTGCTGGCACTGCACTTGGCATTTTACATATTGTATTAGTTGGTTCTCATGCTGCTAATAAAGACACGCCTGAGGCTAGGTAATTTATAAAGGAAAGAGATTTGATTGACTCACAGTTCAGTGTGACTGGGGAGGCCTCAGGAAACTTGCAATCATGGCGGAAGAGGACGCAAGCACATCCCTCTTCACATGGTGGCAGCAGGGAGTGCTGAGCACAAAGGGGAAAAGCCCCTTATAAAAATCATCAGATCTCATGAGAATCCACTCACTATCACGAGAACAGCAGCATGGGGGTAACAGTCCCCACGATTCAATTACCTCCTACCGGGTTCCTGCCATGACATGTGGGGATTATGGGAACTACAGTTCAAGATGAGATTTGGGTGGGGACACTGCCAAATCATATTACATGTGAAATCTACTACAAGTGAAATATATAATATTATCACGTGGGTGGTAAAATTATTTGCATTTTGCAGACAAATAAATTTAAATATGAAGAGATTAACTAACTTGCCCAGGTAATACAGGAAGGTAAAGTTTTAACTATGATCTAAATTCAGCTCACATTCCAAATCCTTTCCATGATGCCACTGAGGGTCTAAGATGAATTGGAGAAAGGAGAGTGTGGTAGAAGAGAGCACCAATAGAAGGTTTTTAAAATCATACATGGAGAGAAAAAACAAGATCTGAACTTCCATAGGTAGCAAAAATGGCAAACGTGGGATGGGCTATAGAAGTATTGCAAAGGCAAAACTATTGAGGCTGGGGAGGGTCGTGGGGAAGTACTGCTGTGGAGTCGCATACACCGGAGTCACTATCTCTATAATCCTTACTTCTCTAAGCCTCAGTTGTCTCATTTGCAAAATATAACAATTAAATGAGTTAATGCACGTGAAATGATTAGGGGAGTGCCTCATACATAGTGAGTGCTCCATAAATGTTAGTTATTATTGGAAGGTGAGTAAGAGAGAGGAATCTAAGATGTTTTTAAGGTTTCTAATCCTAGTGTCTAGTGCCAATAGTTGAGACTAGAAAGAGGTAGATAATAAAACATGATTTCTACAATCTTTATCTCCGAATTAGACAGTAGATTCCTCTGCAGGAGTTTATTCTTATGGTCTAAATAAACCAATTAAAAGCCAGACATTGGCAGAATGGATTAAAAACACAAATCAATTATATATTGTCTATAAGAAATTCATTTCATATATAATAATATAAGCAGGTTGAAAGTAAAAAAAGATTTATCATGCAAACATCAATCAAAGGAAAAACAAGAGTGGTTATAATAATACCAGATAAAATAGGCTTCTGACCAAATAAAGTTATCAGAGACAGGGAAAATTACTATATAATAATAAAGTGATCAATCCACTTGGAAGACATAGCAATCCTAAATATGTATAGAGCAAGCAACAGAACTGTTAAATATGTAAAGCAAAACTGATAGAACTGAAAGGAGAAATAGTCAAATTTACAAATAAGTTGGAGACTTCAACACCTCTCTCTCAACAATTCATAGGATAACTAGAAAGAAATCAGCAAGAGTGTAGAAGAGCACCATTAATCAATAAAAGCTAATCAACATTTGTAGAAAATGTTATGGATAGAAAATGTTTATTTATAGGACACTCCATCCAACAACAACAGAATACACATTATTTTCAAGTGCCCATGAACCATATACTGAGATAGACCATATCTAGGTCATAAAACAAACCCTAAGGAATTTAAAAGAAACACAATTAAACAGTGTGTTCTCTGACCACAACAGAAATAAGGTAGAAATAAATAGCAGAAGATAGCAAGACAATCTCCAAGCTCTTGGAAACTAAAGTAAACACTTCTAAATCATCTAAGAGTTAAAAAGGGAGTCTTGAGGGAAATAATAAAAAAAAGTGAAAGAAAATGAAAATGCAACCTATTGAAATTTGTGCTAGGGAAGATCTGAGAGAGAAATTTAAAGCACTAAATGCATGCATTACAAAAGAGGAATAGTCTTAAACCAATAGTCTAGCCTCCCACCTTGGCAATCTAGAAGAGGAAGGGCAAACTAAACTGAAAGCAAATATAAAGGACGAAATAGATAAAAGCTGAAATCAATGACATTGAAAACAGAAAAACAAAGAGGAAATTTATGAAACAAAGTTTTTTTTTTTTTTAACAGATCAATAAAATTGAAAAATCTCTAGCAGCAGTGACAAAGAGAAGACACAGATTACCGGTATTAGGAATGAAACAGGATATCACTGCAGGCTCTGCAGCCATGGAAAGTATCATAAGGGAGTACTACAAACACCTTTACACATTTAAATTTGACAACTTACATGAAGTAGATTGATTCCTTGAAAAACACAAACTACTACAATGTGCCTAATGCAAAATAGATAATTTGAATATCCCTGTAACCATTAAGATAATTAAACTCGCAGTTTAAAAACCTTCAAAAAGAAACCTCTCTGGGCTCATGTATTTTCTCTGGAGAAATCTAGTAAGTATTTAAGTAAGGATTAATATAAATTCTGCACAATCTCTTACAGAAAATGTAAGATGAATGAATACTTCTTGATTCATTTTATAAACCTAGTTTTACCCTAATAATAAAACTCTACAGACAGTACAAAAAATAAAACTATAGATTAATATCACTCATGAATATAGATGCAAACATCCTTAACAAATATTAGCAAATAGAATTCAGCAATCTATAAAAATAATTAAGTACAATAATCAAGCAGGGTTTCTTTCAGAAATTTAAGGCTGTGTCAATATTTATTTATTTACTTATTTGAGATAGGGTTTTGCACTGTCACCCAGGCTGAGTGCAGTGCTATGCTCACAGCTCACTGTAGCCTCCACCTCTCTCTGTACAAAAAATAAAAACATTTAGCTAGGCATGGTGGAGTGTGACTATAATCCCAGCTACTGAGGAGGCTGAGGTGGGAGGATCATTTGAGCATGGGGGTTGGAGGCTGCAGTGAGCCATAATCATGCCACTGTACTCAGCCTCAGTGACAGAGTGAAGCCCTGTCTCAAAAAGAAAAAGAAAAGAAAAGGAAACAAAAATTGTACAGACCAGAAAGGAAGAAATGAAACTGTTGCAACTTGTGGATGACATGATTGATTTATGTAGAAAATCCCAAGGAATGGACAAAAAATCCTTAAGCTAATGATTGAGCTAAGCAAGGTCACAGGATATAAGATACATGTACAAAATCATCTGTACTTCTATGTACTAGCAATGAACACGTGGATATTAAAATAGAAAATGCAGTACCATTTATAATTGCTAAAAAGCTTAAATATTTAGGTGCAAATCTTATGAAACATGTATAGGACTAATATACTGGAAACTACTTGACACTTTAATTGACAATCTGAATAAATGAAGAGACATATTGTGTTCATGGACTGGAAGATTTGACAGTAAAGATATCTGTTCTGTAGAAACTGATCTATACATTTAATATAATTCCTGTCAAAATCCTAGCAATATATTTTTGCAGTTATAGACAACATCATTCTAAAATTAAAATGAAAAGGTACATGAACCAGAATAACTAAAATTATTTCAAAAAAATAAATACAGTTGATCTTTAGTATCTGTGGGGGATTGGTTCCAGGACTTCCTGTGGATAGCAAAAATCTTCAGATGCTCAAGTCCGTTATATAAAATGGCATAGTATTTGTATATAATCTGTGCACCTCCTCCCATATACTTTGAAATCATCTCTAGATTACTTATAATACCTAATATCATGTAAATGCTATGTCAATAGCTGTTTACTGTATTGTTTAGGGAATACTGACAAGAAAAAATGTCTGGTCTGCATGTGTTTAGTATAGGCACAATTTTGTAGTTGAATATTTTTGATCCCAAGTTGGCTGAATTCGTATATAGGAACCCACAGATATGGAGAGTTGACTGTATAATGGGAGGAATCAGGATATCTAATTTCAATATAGCTACAATAATCAAAATTGTGTTGTTGCTAGAGGGATAGAGACATAAAAAAATGGAACAGAATAGAGAATCCAAATGTAGACTCACTCGAATATACCCAACTGACTTTTTACAAAGGTACAAAAACAATTCAATGGAGGAAAGTTAGCCTTTTCAACTAACAGTGGTAGGGCAATTAGTCATCCACATGCAAAAAATAAAATAAAATAAAATAAGCTACAACTGTTTCATGGTTTATTTAAAAATTACCTCAAAATGAATCGTAAACTTAAATGTAAAATGTAAAACTAAAATTTTTATTTGAAAAATATAGGAGCAAATCTTTGAGATCTAAGGCTAGGAAGGAGTTATTAGACTTGACACAAAAAGTATGATCCATAAAAGGATATTTGATAAATTGGATTTCATTAAATTAAAAACTTGTTTTGTGCAAATGCAAATTTTGATTCAGGGGATCTATGGTTGAACCTAAGATTCTGCACTTACTAAAAGTTTTCAAATGATGCTGAAGCTGCTGGTGTAGGAACCACCCTCTGAATAGCAAAAGACAGACACTCTGGCTTCTTACAGTCCTCAAATTATAGGGACAAATAATTTAATGGATAAATAAATTTTGTTATTTTATAGGGTTCACAATTTGGAGAAGTAGAGGAGATAATTTCAGTTGAAGGAATAATAGAAACACCTCAAAACCCAACTTTATAGCTGCATAAAATAAAAAACAAAATCTTATCTTTTCAAATGTCTTTAATTATCTAATATTCTAATTTTTTTTTTCTAAAAAGAGATAATAAAAGGTTTCTTAATTCAAAGGTATAACTGGATAAGTAGATTTGTTTACAACTATTCTTGTGAAATACTTTTTTTAAAAAAATACGACCAACTTCTTTGAAAATAGCAGACACATACCTCAACTATCACGGGCTAATTTTTGGTGGATAATGTACATAACTAGGCAGAAATAGGCAAGCTGACATTGGTAGATTAACTATCAAATACTCTATCAAAACTCCATTTGTGGCCCTCACTTGTTGATCGATTTCTATTCCCACTTCGTCTTCTACCATCTTTTCAACCTCCTGAGTGACTCCCTTGTCGACTCTGTCTACCTGACCAGCCACCAGATCGACCACCTGACCCGCCTGACCTGCCCGACCAGCCACTTGACCAGTCACTCCTCTGTCTGGGATTAGAGTTGTTTCCATCATAATATTCTTCAGTTTCAGGTAATTTGCCTGGCACTGAGAGTATCCAGTTGGAATCATGCCACTCTGCCTGTAACCTTTCTGACTCAGTTGTAGAAACATCAAAGCAAACACCTATATTTCCTTTCAGGAGACACATGCTGGTAATCCGAGACACTGCATTCTTTCCAGGCACAGGTGACATCCTGTATTTCCTCTAGGCTTTCCAGAGTCATGGTCTTCAAGGGCGATCAAAGATCGTGGTTCAAAGCTTGAAGCACCAGAAATGTGGGCTAAAGTTGTAGCCAATGCATCCACTGACCCTCGCTCTGTCGCCCAGGCTGGAGTGCAGTGGCCCGATCTCGGCTCCGCCTCCCGGGTTCACGCCATTCTCCTGCCTCAGCCTCCCGAGTACAGGACTACAGGCGCCCGCCACCACGCCTGGCTAATTTTTTGTATTTTTGGTAGAGACGGGGTTTCACCGTGTTAGCCTGACCTCGTGATCTCCTGACCTCGTGATCCGCCCACCTTGGCCTCCCAAAGTGCTGGGATTACAGGCGTGAGCCACCGCACCCGGCGCCCCTTTCTCTTCTATCGGTCCCTGAGCTGATGGTCAGAAAAAATCAACAGCAGCATAAGAAACGGAAGTCAGAAACCTGATGATATCCATGCTTTTAGATTTAACCAAATCCATTGTAGAAGGAACACCTACACGTTTAAAAGTAATTGCTGCTTTTTGTTCCACATATCTTAGTTGACCTCTTTCTCTTGGTTGATGAAAACATATACAAATCCCTGTCCAGCTCTACCTGTGCATCCAGAGCGATGGATATAGGACTCAACTTCCTGAGGAGGAGAATGTTGAATCACCAGGTCCACTTCAGGAATGTGCAAACTATGGGCAGCCACATTGGTTGCCACCAAAACTTTAAAACTATCTTCTCTGAAGTCTTTTAGTGTAATTTCTCTTTGTGACTGTGCAATGTCCCCATGTAAACACTGGGCATTCTGTTTTATATGTGGATTCATGGCCATTTCAGTTACATTCTTCTTGTTCTCACAGAAAATAATAGCCCTCCCTTCAGACCCACTGTAGACTTGAAGGACATCTCCAGTAACTGCTGGCCTCTGAGACCAATGACACTGAATGTGTTCCACAGTAGTTGCAGCCTTTTGAGTCATTTTTCCAACAAGGTCAACCTGTTCATATCTGGATTTCATGTAATTTTTTTTGCAACTTTGTATACCCACTGTGGGCAAGCTGCAGAAAAAAGTAAAGTCTGAGGATTGTCTTCAGAATCAGTTTTGTAGGATTCGTGAATCATATATTCAACTTGCTCATCAAAACCTAAATCTAACATTTGATCCACTTCATCAAGCACAACATGGTGCAGTTTAGAAAGATCCAATCAGCCACTCTGCAGACGGTCTTCATATGACCAGGGGTTCCAACCAAGATGTCAATACCATTTTGCATATGATTAATTGGGCTTTGATATGGTGTTCCACCATAAAAACATGCCATGCTGAATTTCCTAGTTTTATCTTTGAAGTCTTTGGCTACTTGGTTTGCCAATTCCCTAGTTAGAGCCAAAACAAGTACCTTCGGTGAGCAGCTTTTTAAAAATTGTTTCTTAATTTCTTTGGAGTCTTTCAATCAAAGGGATGGCAAAAAAAAAAAAAAAAAAAGTCTTTCCTGTTCCTGTCCATGCTCGAGCTATTAAATCTTTTCCTTCATATACAGGACAAGGTCTTAACTTGAATAGGAAAGAGATATGTTACCCCTCGACCTTTCAGAAACGTTATAGTCTCTTCAGAAATACAGAAATAAGAGAAGGCTCCTTCTTCCTATTCACCTGTTAAGGTCTCCTCTAGTTTATTATCACTTGATTTATGAGTAGAACTATCTAAGGATGATATTCGCTTTGATTTTTTTTTCATATTCATCAATATTTCCATTTGGTAGATCTTTTCTTCTTATGAGATTTAGAGAATTCATCTGAAAGTCTATAAAATCCTTCTTCAGTGTCTCCATTTAGATTTTCTTTCATTTTAGTTTTTTTTTTTTTTTTTTTCTTTTTTGGCCTTAGGAACATCTAGGTCATCTGTAACACCATTTTCTCATGTTTTTGATTTCTCATCTGAGTCATAATGGTGCCTTGACTTCCTTCTGTCACTCCAGCACTGTGTAATGTGTTTTCAGTTTATCTTGTTTAAATCTTCATAACAACCCTATAAGGGAAGTACGGGTCTATAATCCCTTATCCGAAATTGTGATATCCATAGAGCTCTTATTGATAAGGTCA